TTTCAAATGGTTCCTGTTTTTTGGCCGGGAAGCTCATAAAATTAAGTGCATCACAGAAAGTCCATCTGCTGTGATTAATCGCATTAACCTCAGATCAGGGAGTCAATCATAGTTAGAAAATTTGAGATCTAGAAGGAGGTGTTGAGGACTTGGTGAGGGCACCGAGCCCTCGAGGGTTTACTGCAGCCGGAACACAGGCGCTGGGTCTCTTACGAAGGCCTTGCACAACCCGTCACTCTCATCCTTTCCTTCGTTGCCTCTTTCTCTTCAGCTTTTTGCCTTTTAAAAATACTGAAAAGTCTCCTTTAAACAAAAATATCCCATGGGATCTGTCATCTCCCTCCTCCAGCTACCACGAACTCTCTTTCTCTTCATACGCAGACAACTTCTTTTTCTGTTTTGTTTGTTTTATTGAAGGGTAGCTGATTCATGTGTCAAGTCTATGGAAGAATACACACACTTGTTGAATGAGTTGTGCACTCAGGAGACCTTGACCATGACTTCCCTGACTTCTGAGGTTTTCCTCCTCCCCCTCTGATGGCCCTTCTCTGTTTCTGCAGGGGTTCATCCTCTTCTACTCAGCCATTAAAAGCTGAGTTGCTTTAGGTACTCGGCATTGGGCTCTCTTGCTTCCCACCTTTCTGTCTTCTCCTCAGGTGACTGCCACAGCCGTGGCTTCCCTTATTAGAGATGACTCAAATATATAGAAAGAGATGTGGCACACTCACACACACACACACATATGCACACGTGTATGTACACATATCTACCTAGTATCTGTAGAGATGCATGCGTTTATATGTACTTGTGTATATGCACAGATCTTAGATAGAGATATACATATGTATGTGTGTATATCTATCTGTCTATATATTTTGAGGTCTGTATCTCATCTGTATAATTTTTTGGTTATTGTTAGGATTAAAAAGCAATTTTTAATCCTCCAACTTTCTAAATTTCTTAATTTCCATGATTTAAAAGAACGTACTTGACAAAAACCAGGGGTTCTTTCAAAAGTATACTTGCCAACATCAGGAAAACATCTTAAAATATTCTGTATTTCAGCACAGAGCAGCAGATTATCAAAAATAAGCATGTGTGTGTGTATATATATATATGTATATATGAGTAAGTAGGTATGAAAGTGGGTAGGTTGGTAGATGGACAGATTGAGAGGTCTCCCAGCCTTTCTTCTGGAGCTTCACGCCCTTGTACCTGCAAAAGGCATCGCAAATTGATTATGTCCAAGACCACACTCAGTGTTTCTGCCCCAGCCCGAGTTTCATCCTTTTCAGGTGTTCTCATTCGGTGTGAACAGCTCCCCAGCCAGCTAGTTACGGGTGAAGCCTCACCGAGAGCCGCCTTCCTCACCTCCCTGGTCCCTGTCTCTTGCCCAGCACAAGTCCTGGCTGTCTGCAGTCTGTTCATTCCCCTTCCTCTGACGCCTCCCTCCCACCCGGTGCTGAGCCGCCAGTATCTTTGACCCAGACAGCTGCAGTAGTCACCTGTCTTGTTTATCTACATCTCCTCTTGCTCTCTGGTTCATTTTTCAAACAGTAGAAAGAGTTGGACTTGAAACTCAAGTCCAGCCACGTGATGCTGCAGCTGCACAAAGGCCTTCGGGGTCTTCCTGTTGCCTGGACATGAAGTCCAAGGCGCCTGACTGTGAGCGAGTGACTCCGCGTGCTCCATCCCTCCCTCCCTCTCAAGCCTCATCTTGGGCAGTACTCTCCCTGGCTTCTGCTTCCGTGTCTCCCACCATCTCGTCGTCTGTTCCTGTCTGTTGCATTTGCTCTCCTGCGGCCGGAGCTTGTCTGAGGCACCGCCTCCCGCAGGGCGTCCTTCCGTAACTCTCCTGCGCTCCGCCCGGTTCTCAGGTGCCCCCTGAGCCGGAGGCAGCACCTCTCTCCTCGATTGCAGCTCTGCGTTTGTTGGTGAAGCTGTTTGCTGCGTGGCCTCTCTCCCCTTATTTACAAGCTCCCTAAGGACAAGGCCTGTATCTAACTCGTTCCTCTTTGCATCCTCACCCCTGGTGCTTGTCACAGTGACGAGCACAGTAAGTGCCCACTCAGTATTTGTTGAGTGAATGGATGCACAGTGGCATCGTGTAGGAAGGAAGCACAGCCAGTGGGTTTGTTCAGGAAAGGAATGCAGTGGAGGAAAGAGAAGGGACCAGCCTTAACAGAGACCCTTTTATGTGCCAAGCAGTTTTTACACATTATTGGGATGGAAGCAAGGAATAGTAACTGGTGGTTTTGTTTTCTTTTATAACTCCTCAGAGAGATTTTTATATGTATTTCATGCACATACATGGGTGGCAAGATTATTTTCATTCATTTAATACACTATGAAATATGTCTCTGAAATACTATCCTATTTTTCCATTAACATATTTTAGCAATTTTCAGCTTGCATGGCTGGACATTTGATTAACAGGAAAAAAATTCGATTAGAGGTAATTAACACCTCAAATGAGATTGCTCTATTAATCTCTAATGTCACTTTAAGAGCATTAAATACACATATATCCTGGGCACGGCTGTTTGATTTTTGACTTTCTGTGTGGCACACAGTTTTGAGTCCCGGTCATAAAAGGCATGGGAAACACCTTTCTTCATTACGGTCACGGTGCTGTTCCATAATTGGGAAACACATGAATGCAGTTTTATGTGAGGAGGATAAGCAGATTGTTGGGCGGATAATATCCACTGCTGCCCTTTTGAGGCTCCCCAAACTGTGTCCTTCTCCTCTTGGCTCCATTTCTGCTAAATAACAGCAGTCACCAGAACCAGTGCTTTGATTACTCCCTGGGGTCTGATCCAAACCCAGTAGGTTTTAACTGTATTGAATTTTGAAGCTCCTTTGAGATTCTGAGACAGTATATGAAGTAGGCATATATATATGCCTGTCTGAAGCTCCAGAGTGGCCATGTGAGATATTGATGCCACCTTCAGGGTTCAGGGGGAGCTGGTACCCAATAGAGACTGATGGCTGTGGCCAACCAGAAGTCACGTGCCCTGTCCGGGGGAGGCAGCAGGCAGCAGCCCAGTGGCAGCACTGACCTCCTGACCCTAGATCTCCTAATTTTTGAAGGGAAGCAAGAAACTCAGACTTTCATGTGAGAACTATGGAGTTTTGAGAGTCCCTTGGACTGCAAGGAGATCCAACCAGTCCATCCTAAAGGAGATCAGTCCTGGATGTTCATTGGAAGGACTGATGTTGAAGCTGAAACTCCAATACTTTGGCCACCTGATGCGAAGAGTTGACTCATTGGAAAAGACCCTGATGCTGGGGGGGATTGTAGGCAGGAGGAGAAGGGGACGACAGAGGATGAGATGGCTGGATGGCATCACCGACTCGATAGACATGAGTTTGGATGAACTCTGGGAGTTGGTGATGGACAGGGATGCCTGGTGTGCCGCGGTTCATGGGGACACGACTGAGCGACTGAACTGAACTGACTGATGGAGTTTTCACTGTTGATTTTTTTTTTTTTTAATTTGTGTGGGACACACAAAACACATCCAGGACCTGAACTTTTTTCTCTGACTTTTGTGTTGCAAATTCTTTATCCTGACTACTATTTCTCCGTGGTCTCTTTCTACCTCATCTGTCCAATATGGGTTCTTGCTGCTATTTCAGATGCCCTGTGTTTTGGCTGGACTTGACTCTCCTTTCTCCAAACTCAGGAGACCCATCTCTGGTCTCAGGCCTAGCCCCTCTCCCCAGTCACCCTCACATGGAGCACCTCTCTTGTCCTCTGCTTATCCTGTGAGACCCAGCTGAGGCCCTCAATGCCAGAGTCTCTCTCCATCCTGCATCCTGAACTCATCACTTTGATCCTTCATGGTTGAAGACTTCTCATATAAATGTCATCTTCACAAATACGTTGCCTTCATTTTCAGGGCAAAGATTGAACATGGGGGTTGTGCTGAAGGCTTGGTAGACACTGAGGTGTGATACATGCTTGTGTGCTCAGTTGCTTCGGTGACATCCGACTCTGGGCAACCTGTGGACTGTAACCCACCAGGCTACTCTGTCCATGGGATTCTCCAGGCAAGAATCCTGGAGTGGGTTGTCATGCCCTGCTTCAGAGGCTCTTCCTGACCCAGGGATCAAACCCGCGTCTCTTATGACTCCTGCATTGATTGGCAAGTGGTTCTCCACTTGCGTCACCTGGGACGTGGGACCAGCTCAGATAGTGCATCTTTTAAATGCTCCCAGGGACGGGGAGCTCACTGCTTCCTGTGACATCTGTGCCAGCTTTGGACAGCTCTGACCTTAGAAAGTGCCTTTTTGCTTATTGGCTTAGTCAAGCTGAAATTTCCTCCCCACCTAATGATTTTGTTATCCTGTGCATTTACATTCCATCCTTTTGCCGCTTGTACAGTTTGGACCCTTGTCAGTCAGAAGGAGCCCTTCTTGAATGTCTAATGTAGCCGTGTCAATTTTAACAGGATTTTCACAAGAAGCAGTGTCTTTACAGGAACTAGACCCTCCACGTGCACGTTTTCTTTCCTATCAAATTCTGAGGGAGATTTTAGTAACAGTGACCTGTGCTCTGGCAGTTTCACTGGGTTTTTTCTTTTGAAAGCACCAGCTTTTGAGGTTTTTGCTTTCATTGGCGTTAATAAACATTTCCTAAGTTGGTGACGCTATACTTTGTTTGCTCTCCCAACATCTCTTTGGAGAACTGCTTTCTGTTTTTCTTCTCAACAGTCAAAAGTCTAATTATGTGTATATTAAGTTTTAAATCTTGTATGATTTTATAGTACTTAAACCTCTCACTTGTGCCTTGGGTGACATAAATATTGTGACACTTGGCTGTAAAAATTAAAAGCATTTGAAGGTATAGAATTGGCTTGGGTAAGCAGACTTTTGGGATGAAAGCCTCCTCTCGTTCCTGGGAATCACATCTCAGCTGCAGAATTCCACATTAGAGTGTCCTCTGCTGACCAGGTTCTCACTGTAAACTCACTGCTGTTTCTGTGTGTTCTTAGGCGCCATGATCCTCTTGGGAAGAACCAACATGTTTCGTTTTAACCACCCAAAGGAGGCCGCCAAGCTCAGGGAGAAGAGGAAGGTGAGCAGTGTGGAATCCCCGGCAGCCAAGTCCACTCTGGGTGGGGCTGGGGGTGGGGGAAGAGGGGTCTCTGCTCTGGCTCCAGCAGTCAGACTTCCTGGAGCAGGAACCAGCCCACAGCCTGGATTGACTCCGGGGCATTGGTTTCCCTGCGGACGGTCGGCTGGTGGAGTAGGACAGTGAGCGAGGTCCAGCGTGGAGGAGACACGCGGCTCTTCCATGCTGCTCATCAGCGTCCCCATCCCTCAAAAGGAGGTGGACACCTTTTCACATTAAGTGGAGGGTGCCCTACACTCATGAGTATCTGTTTTAAGAGTTACTTCCACACCAGAATCACCTTGATCCAAAACTTTGCTCACCTCTTCTTTTCACTCCTAGTAAGTTGGATTTTTGATCGGGGTGTGAAGCAGAGAGGGGGCGAGTGTAGGACAGTTGAACAACTGGAAGAGATTGCAGCTTGTTTGGATGGGGACTTCCAGGGGCGCTTGAAGCGCTAGATGGGGAAGTGGGCCAAGGACCAGAGAGGGAAGGGAAGGGATGAAAGGGAGAGCCGTCTGTCTAGTCTAGCTCTTGTGCACCGCGCTGAGCTTAGACGGAGGGAGAGAGTGAAGCGGAGATGTCTGAGGCAGAACCACGTGGAGCCTCCCGGTGAACCACTTTGTGTCCACAGAACCGTTGGTACCCCCAAGTCACAGATGAGCGAGAGGAGAGACTGAGACTGGCCTGTCCTGTGGCCCACAAGTGGGGACAGGGACCTGACTGCAGGCCCAGATGTGTTAGCCCCTCATCCAGGGTGTGGGCCCCCTACTCCAAGTCACATGGCCCCTCACACAGGGTGTCAGCCCCCCGCCCCAAGTCACACGGCCCTCACACAGGGTGTCAGCCCTTCACGCCGAGTCATAGCCCCTCACACAGGGTGTCAGCCCTTCACCCTGAGTCACATGGCCCCTCACACGGGGTGTCAGCCCCCCATCCTGAGTCACACAGCCCCTCACACGGGGTGTCAGCCCTTCACGCCGAGTCATAGCCCCTCACACAGGGTGTCAGCCCTTACACCCTGGGTCACACGGCCCCTCACACGGGTTGTCAGCCCCCCGTCCTGAGTCACACGGCCCCTCACACGGGGTGTCAGCCCTTCACGCTGAGTCATAGCCCCTCACACAGGGTGTCAGCCCTTCACCCTGAATCACATGGCCCCTCACACAGGGTGTCAGCCCCCCGTCCTGAGTCACACGGCCCCTCACACGGGGTGTCAGCCCTTCACGCCGAGTCATAGCCCCTCACACAGGGTGTCAGCCCTTCACCCTGAATCACATGGCCCCTCACACAGGGTGTCAGCCCCCCGTCCTGAGTCACACGGCCCCTCACACGGGGTGTCAGCCCTTCACGCTGAGTCATAGCCCCTCACACAGGGTGTCAGCCCTTCACCCTGAGTCACATGGCCCCTTCACACGGGGTGTCAGCCCCCCCGCCCCGAGTCACACGGCCCCTCACACAGGGTGTCAGCCCCATGCCCCGAGTCACATGGCCCCTCACATGGGGTGTCAGCCCCCGCCCCGAGTCCCACAGCCCCATGCCTCAGCCTGCTTTTCCAGGACTGCTGGGGTCCCCAGTGACTGAGGTGGGAATAACCAGAAAGCGGCAGTCTTCTCTGGACCACTGCTTTAAGCCTGTGAGCCTCCTGTCTGCTCAGCCCAGGTCTCCCTGGAGGGCCCTTTTGGGACCCCGTTGCAGGGAGGAGGGGGGAGGAAACAGGCCTGCCAGTAACTTTCCGTGGGAGCAGGGCAGGGCCAGCGTTCACTCTCCTGGTCTCCCTCCTCCTCCTCGTCCCTCTCTGTCACTCAGCAGGCGTGGGTGCCGCTGCCAGGGCCCCCCTTCCCTGGATGTAGCAGCAGGTCAGGGAGCCCCTCGGGGCTGAGCGGCTCCTGTGCAGGTGAGAGACCCTGCTGGCCTTGGCGTGGGGCTTGGGTTCCGGATAGACCCCGGGCCTGGCTGCCCCAGCTTCTGTCCTCAGGGAGGCCAGTTGTGTGTGGGCTCCTGGGGGGTGCTGGGCCCCTCACTGCCTCTCCCCAGGAGAGAGGGGTGCACGCAGAGCATGGTCTTCTGCCGCCGAGGTAACCACTTTGCCCTGTGTCTGCTCTTAGAGCGGCCTTCTGCCCTCCCTCAGCTTGTCCATGAGCGACCTGTCCAAGTCCCGTGAGAACCTCTCCGCCGTCATGCTGTACAACCCAGGGTGAGTGGACTGCAGCGTCGCCTTCCCTGGGGTCGCCCCTGTGGTTGTGTTTGCTCTGTCGACCCCATTAAAGTCACTTACTTAAGAAAAAGAATCAGTTAAATAAAGCTTCTGCAGTCAACCCTCCTTTATCAAATCAGCCATAGTGATTTTTCAGGTTCCTTTCCAGCATTCACTGTGTATGAGTATCCTTTAACCGGTTATAATCACAACACATATGAGGTGATGCACTCTGATTCTTAAATAATCAGCATTGGTAAGCCTCATTACGGCTTCCTTCTTGTTTTCATAGCAGTCTAATATTTTAGAGCTGACACTTGGATTGCTCCATGCACGATCCCTTTGGCTCAGGGGCTTTCACTTCATTTTGTAACTGTGGTGTAATCGCAGAAACAGCTTTGGTTCTTAGGGCTTCAGATGCCCAGGGAGTCATGTTCACTCCTTCCAGGCTCTAGGAGACCGCTGAGAACGGTGGTGGTTTAAATGGACTTGGTGGTGGGGGACTTTGAGCAGTTAGCTTAATTGCCTGAGTCCTCCATTGTTCCATCCCCGACACGGTCATGAAAATGCCTCAAAACAGAGAAGTGGGTGAAAGGACTTTGGGGTCCTTGCCAGGCGTATGAAGAGTCCATAATTTTATCTTTCCTGCAAAGAGAATCTCATGTAAAACAGTGGAGGTAAATCTCATAGCTAAATGTGTTAAAATTGACAACACTGCCATCTTCAGAACTGACGGTTCGTTGGTTGTCACTGTCCCAGGCACTGTTCTGAGTGCCTCATCTTCGTCAGCTCCTGTATTTCTCACAATGACTCTCACACATAGAGTTCATACAGGTTTGCTCATCAGTTTCAGGGTCAGAGCCATGGTGGGAGCCCAGGTCTGCCTGATTCCCAGCCTGTGCTCTGACTCTGTTCCTTCCTGCCTTTCCCCACGTGGGGCACGGTTTCTCACCTGGGAACCGGTTCCATGGCCCATTGCCCCCGTCTCAGCACTTCTCACAAAGTCTGAATACCTCGTCCCTCAGTTCGGGTCAGTCCTCCTGTTTATGGGCAATAGACACGCCTGTAAGGACTTCCTTCACTGTTGTAGGAGTTTAAAGCTGGGAGGGGGCCTTTGATCATGTTTCTGGATTCATCTTTCTATCGGCAAGCGGGCGGAAGCCCAGGTCCGGTTAGTAGACCACTGGCTGCAGACTCCTGGGCCCTTTCTCCTTCCAGAATTCCTGGATGTACACGTAGGCAGGTCCCTTCTGTGTCAGCCCTTGCCAGCACTGTTCATGAAGCCTTTCCATCTTATGACAGGGTTACTGAGAGGAGTTGTGCTTTTTTAGGTAAATCTGTCTTGGACTAACCCTTGGTGACTGGTAAGACCCCTGAAATATGAGAGCAGTCTCAGAGCAGCTGGGTTATTGGTACTTGGGAAGCTCATTAGGTTGTCAGTCTTTAATTCCTCTCTCTGGTTTTAACAGCAGCCTTTTACCATGACTGAGACTGCATCTTTCACATGCTCACTTTATTTGGGTTTAACATAACATGCAGGTGTTTAGGGTTGTCTTCCATTTAAGAAGCACGTTCTCATCTGTTCAGTGTTGTGGGGCTGCTTGAATCTTTGGGGTGTGCAGTGTGTTTACATGGGTGGATTCATCTCCCCACTTGGAACCCATTTCCTGTCCCAGATACCAGCTTCGTTTTCTTGATGGTGGTGGCTTCGACTCTGAGTAAACTTGGCAGTGACACGTGACTGTTCCATGCCTCTGAAAACAGAAAGTAATCTGCATTCAGCCTGAGCTCTGGGATATAGTGTTGCCAGCTGCGGGCCCACTCTCCCAGGCCTTACAGATGAGATCTCCTCCAAAGGCAGGAGACTATGCCATCCTCTTAAAAGTGATGCTGTTTTGTTGTTGTTTGTTTGTATTTAAGCTGAAGTGGTTTTTCTCAGTGTCTGTGAAATGTAGGTCAGAATGTAGTAGCTTCACCCTCAAACTTTTCAGTGATATTTTTCCTGGTCTGAAATGTAAGATCCCAGGCCTCGGTGAACCGCCCCACCCAGCTGACAGCTCAACTCCCCATCATCCGTGCTGGCCCCCAGCCCGCCCTCCCGCCCCTTACCCTGGGCACCAGCTATTCCATTTTGGGTCCCGCTCGTCCTCAGGCCACCCTGGACCAGTCATGCCTTTGGGGCTTCTTCTCTTCTAGTCCCAGAGCCTGGTGTGCCTTTGGTGATGCTGTCTGCCCGTCCTTAAGGTGTAGTGCACACGGCCTCCTCTGGATGCTGTTCCTAACTTCCCTCCTCCCACAGCTTTCTCACGGCTCATCGCTCCATCTGTGGCAGCCTTGTCTTGTTCTTTGTGATGCACACTTGTCTGTCAGCAGGTCCTTTCTCAGCCTCTCCTGAGAAGCAGGCATGGTTCTCCCCTTGGGGACATGGTTCTCCCTTTGGGGACACGGTTCCCGATAAGACCCCTGGTGGGCTTACAGGTCACTCCAGGGGAGCAGCCATCACAGGTCATTTATGAATAAGGGTAGAAAATGAAAATGAGATGAAAGTAGGACAACTCCGGCAGTCCTAGATGGAGAGGTCAGGAGAGGCCTCCTGAGGCGGGGACATTTCTTATAAGGCTGGCGCAGAGCGAGGATGATGCTTGTGTGACCAGAAGGGGGCGGGCATCTCCAGGCAGAGGAAGAGCAAGCAGGAACATGGCATCCAACCAGGAGGTGGGGTGAGGGTAGAGCCGATGGGTGCAGTCACCGGAGGGTGGGATGCCAGGAGGGCAGGGGGCCAGCTGACCTGGGCCTTGGAGACCCCTGGAAAGAATTTGGCTGTTCCCAAGAGTGCTGGGAAGCTGTTAGATGTCTTTAAGCAGTAGAGGAACGTGAAGATTAATTTACCGCAGATGTTAGTACATGTGGTGTTTGGAGAAGGTAGTGTAGAACCAAGAGACCATTTAGGAAGCTGCTGCCTTAGTCCAGGTGGGAGGTACCAGCGGCTTGGGTCTGGGTGGTCGTTATGGAGATGGAGCATCATGGAATTGAGGGCTGTCCCCAGGCTTTGGATTTAAACAATTGAGCAGATGGCAAACCTGCTTCTGAGGTAAGGGCAGCAGGAATGACCTCCCTGGCTGGCAGTGCGGTGAGAGTTCAGTCCATGTATCTTTCCTACTAGGTTGGAAATTTTTAGAGGTCAGAGGCTGGTCTTACTAATTTCTATATTCTACAGTGTCATTCATGTAGCATGCTTGATGAATGTTTAGCAAACAGATTAATAATGAGTTTATGGTGAGATGCACATGTCCTTGGGGCTTCCCTGATAGCTCCGTTGGTAAAGAATCCACTTGCAATTCAGGAAACCCCGGTTCAATTCCTGGGTCAGGAAGATCCGCTGGAGAAGGGATAGGCTGCCCACTCCAGTGTTCTTGGGCTTCCCTTGTGGCTCAGCTGGTAAAGAATCCACCTACAGTTCAGGAGACCTGAGTTTGATCCCTGGGTTGGGAAGATCCCCTGGAGAAGGGAAAGGCTATCCATTCCTGTATTCTTGCCTGGAGAATTCCATGGACTGTATAGTCCATGTGGTCGCAAAGAGTCGGACATGACTGAGTGGCTTTCAGTTCATTTCACACATGTCCTTTGTGGGGGAAAAGGTTTTTCACTAATTCCTCTGGGTACTTGTGTTCCAAATGGTGGAAAATGGCACATCATGCAAAGGAATGTGTATCTGAGGCATGAGTCAGTTCCAGAATGACACTGCAATTGGTGGAATAACCTCAAGTTCATGTTCAAGATCCTCAGGCAAAAGGTGGGAAGAGGGCCTTATGAAGAAGTGAAGACTTGGGCCAAGGTAGTCTGAGAACTCAGTGAGAGTCGGTCTGCGGTTGGCTGAGGAAACATGCTGGATGAGTGGACGTGGCTGTGGTGACCCGCTCATCCATGCATCTCGTATCTGCTACCTTGCAGTGCTCATCTGTACCAATTCAAATTCAAATGACTTGATACTTCATCATACCTTCATTCCCTGATCCTAGCTGCCCCCTCCAATTGCCACTTGCACGGAGAACTATTACCCATGAATTAAAACATAATTGGATCACATGGCAGTTCTATTTCCAGTTTTTTAAGGAATCTTCACACTGTTCTCCATAGTGGCTGTACTAGTTTGCATTCCCACCAACAGTGTAAGAGGGTTCCCTTTTCTCCACACCCTCTCCAGCATTTGTTGCTTGGAGACTTTTGGATAGCAGCCATCCTGACTGGTGTGTAATGGTACCTCATAGTGGTTTTGATTTGCATTTCTCTGATGAGTGATGTTGGGCATGTTTTCATGTGTTTGTTAGCCATCTGTATGTCTTCTTTGGAGAAATGTCTGTTTCGCTCTTTGGCCCATTTTTTGATTGGGTCATTTATTTTTCTGGAGTTGAGCTGGAGGAGTTGCTTGTATATTTTTGAGGTTAATCCTTTGTCTGTTGCTTCGTTTGCTATTATTTTCTCCCAGTCTAAGGGCTGTCTTTTCACCTTGCTTACAGTTTCCTTTGTTGTGCAAAAGCTTTTAAGTTTCATTAGGTCCCATTTGTTTATTTTTGCTTTTATTTCCAATATTCTGGGAGGTGGGTCATAGAGGATCNGGTGCGCATGTCTCTTTCAGATGGTTTCCTCGGTGTATATGCCCAGAAGTGGGATTGCTGGGTCATATGGGCAGTTCTATTTCCGGGATGTTTAGAGAGAACAGCATCGAAACATGTATATTATCAAGGGTGAAACAGATCCACCAGCCCAGGTTGGATGCATGAGACAAGTGCTCAGGGCTGGTGCACTGGGAAGACCCAGAGGGATCGGTGGAGAGGGAGGTGGGAGGGGGTATCGGGATGGGGAATACATGTAAATCCATGGCTGATTCATGTCAATGTATGGCAAAAACCACTACAATATTGTAAAGTAATTAGCCTCCAACTAATAAAAGTAAATGGGAAAAAAAATAAACAAATAATAAAAAGAAGAAAAAAACATAA